CACTCTCACAGGAAGTAGTTTTGGTGATAACCAAACCGGCTTTATTTTTAAAACACGCATTCTTCATTATATGGTTGAATCAATGACACTTTCTCAAATATTTATAGTCTGCAATCAGAAAATAACTTTCCATATACACACTGCATAAAACTGTAACTGCTCTCAAAGCACTCCATTTCCAAATAATTACCAAGTATTTACTGGAGCTGTTCATGCTCGGATATATCGGTGAAACACTGCTGCTCCTTCACTTCCATAATGGAACAAAGGTAAGAGAACTTCCATTTCCTTTTCCAACAAGCATTACTTTACTGGAAAATACCCCTTTGCTGACAGACTTTTAATGTTAAGTTTGTAATTAACTAAATTCTAGCTGTCAATTATTTTATAAAATAAAGCTTCTTTCTCCAGATTATTTGTAATACCTGCAGTTATCACATGTTGCCCAATCAAAGTGCTGCATAAGGTAGGAATCCATGAATTCTTTCCCACAGTCTTCACAGATGAGATAGTCAAACTCTAGTACAGGTGCTAATGGAAAAAAAGACTTTTTTAAAGCAATTACGATATTAAAAAACAAGTATTTGGAAGCAGTTATTACAGGCAATTTTTACTAAAATTTACACTTTAATTGTATAATGTTCATTACAGTCACATTTTATTCCTGCACAGAAAGTTTCCAGAAAGATCAAACATAAATCAAAACCTATATCCAGCGATTCCATATATTCCTGTTCTTGCTCAAAGACTTGCTGTTATCAAGTACCGCATTTCAAAACTCCAAAGCACATTTCTTTTCAACTTAGCGATTGTTAACCAGACAGAAAAAAAAAAAAAAGAAAAAAAAAAGGAAAAGAAACGAACAAAGCTAGGTGAGATTCCTGCACACTTCCCCACGCAGCGCTCCATCCCCGCTCCGGCGGCCTCCTCCCTGCTGGCTGTGGGCAGAGCGCCTCCTGACGCGCAGGAGACGCGCAGCCAGGAAGGGGAGAACACGGAGCAGGGCCTGCAGCGGGAAGGAAGCGGCCCAGGCAGGAAGCAGGTCAGGAGCTGCCCGGGCGCTAGGGCCTCACAGCTCTGCCCTGCTCTCCTCCTGCCTCTCCGAGAAAGTGCTCGAGGGAGGCTCGGAGCCAAGGTCTTGTCCGTGCCAGGCGCAGGAATGGAGGTGGACGGCCAGAGAGCTGCTAGGAGTGGAATGGGGATGGAGCTCCACTACAATCCTCTCCCCAAGCCCTCTCAGCACTGCTCCAAGCCCAGGCTCATCCCGGTGCCGGCCATCGCTGCTGCCATGCCGGGTGGATCACCTTCCGCGACTCCTCCGTCTGCTCGTGTTCCGCGAGACACTGAGAAACACCCCTGCCGGCGTTTGCGGCTATCACAAACGCCCCTTTAGCAACGATACAATCCTAGTAGAAAATTAACTTTTTTATATAGTTTCATCAGCTGCAAGTGAGATAGCACTGTAGAACATTAACAATATCTGAAATGTAAAACTAATTATTGACATGCAACATCATACATTTTTAATCTTGTTTGCATTTATAGCAGATGCGGATAAAATATCATCTTTGCTAGATTGGATTTCAAGTTTTACTGGTCGCAGTAGGAAGCCGAGTACTTCACATAGTCATGCTCTTACATTGCACTTTGCATTTTAAGGCGCTACTTGCAGGCACACCGACATTTTATTTAGACAATGACATTACGAATTACACAGCAAAAATATTCCCGGTGCAAACGCATCCCGGGCGTACTTAATTTATTATTAAAAGATAGCCCCTTGGAAGCGGCAGGGCTGCTGGCTGCTCATGCTCTTAGTGAAATCCGGTGGTGATTTCTAACAAAGAGGTACACTGCACCAACAGCCCTGCAGCTCACTCAGAGCAGAACAAAGCAAGACAAAGGCAATCCTGGGGAAGAAAACGCGTCTATTTCGAGATCCTTCACTTCTCCATTTGCTTTTGGGAGGCAGAGGAGCCTCACGAGACGATTGCGCCCTAACTCCCTCCC